TAACCCCTTTTTTTTTAAAAATTAAAATTAAGAAAAAAATTTTTTTTTTTTTTTTTTAAAAAAAAAAAAAAATTTTTTTTTTTTTTTTTTTAAAAAAAAAAAAACCCCCCCAAAAAAAAAAAATTTTTTTTTCCCCTTTAAAAAAATTTTTAAAAAAATTTTCCCCCCCCCTTTTTTTTTAAAAAAAAAAAAAAATTTTTTTTTTTTTTCCCCTTTTTTAAAATTTTTATTTTGGGGGGTTTTTTTTTTTTTTTTAAATTTTAAAAATTTTTTTGAAAAAAATTTAAAAAAACATTCCTTTTTCCCTTTTTAAAAAATTCAAATTTTTTTCCCCCATTTTCCCCTTTAATTATTTTAAAAAAATTTTCCCCCAAAAAAAAAAAATTTTTTTTTTTTTTTTCCCCCCCCTTTTTCAAAATTTTTTTTAATTTTTTAAAAAATTTTTTTTTTTTTTTTTTTTTTAAATTTTTTTAAAAAAATTATTTTTTTAAAATTTTTTCCCCCAAAAAAAAAAAAATTTTTTTTTTTAAAAATTTTTCCAAATTTTTTTAAAAAAATTTTAAAAAATTTTTTAAACCCCAAAAATTTTCCCCCCTTTTTTAAAACTTTTTTTTTAAAAAAATTTTTTATTTTAAATTTAAAAAAAAAAAACCAAAAAAAACAATTATTTTTTTTTTCCCTTTTCATTAAATTTTTTTCCCCATTTTTTAAAAAAAAAAAACCCCTTTTCCCCTTTCCCCCCAAAACCCCAAAAAAAACCCCCCAAAAAAAAAACCCCCCCCCCCCAAAAAAATTTAAAAAATTTAACCCTTTTTTTAAAAAACCCCCCCCAAAAAAAACCCCCCCAAAAAAAAAAAAAACATTTAAAAACCCCCCCTTTTTTTTTTTTTTTTTTTTAATTTTTTTTCCCCTTTTTAAAAAAAATTATTATTTTTCAATTTTTAAAAATTAAATTTTTTAAAACCCCCCTTTTTTTTTTTTTTTTAAAAAACATTTTTCCCCTTATTTTTTTAAAAAAAAAAAAAACCCCCCAAAAAAAAAAAAATTTTTTGGATTTTTTAAAAAAAAAAAAAATTTTTTTTTTTTTTTTATTAAAATTTTTTTTTCCCCCTTTTCCCTATTTTTTTTTGGGGGGGGAAAAAAAAAAAATTTTTTTTAAATTTTTCCCCCTTTTTTTATTAAAAAATTTTTTTTAAAAATTTTTAAAAAATTTTTTTATTTTAAAATTTTTTTAAAATTTTTCCCTTTTTTTTGGGGGGGGGGTTTTTCCCTAAGGGTTCCAAAAAATTTTTTTTTTAAAAAAAAATTTTTTTTTTAAAAATTGGGTTTTTAAAAAATTAAAATTTTATTTTTTTTTTTTTTTTGGGGGGGGGGGGGGGCCCCCCTTTTAAAAATTTTTATTTTTAAAAAAAATAAAATTTTTTTTTTTTTTTTTTTTTTTTTTTTTATTTTTTAAAAAATTTTTTTTTTTTCCCCCCCGGGGGGGGGGGGGGAAAAAAAAAAATTTTTTTTTTGGGGGGGGGGGTTTATTATTTTTTTTTTTTCCGGCCTTTTTTTTTTTATTTGGGGGGATTTGGGGGGATTAAAAATTATTATTTTTTTTTATTAAATTTTTTTTTTTAAAAAAAAAATTTTTTTTTTGGGGTTTTTTTTTAAAAAAAATTTTTAAAATTTTTTATTATTTATTTTTCCTTTATTATTTAAAATTTTTTTTAAAAAAAATTATTTTTAAAAATTTTTTTTTTTTTAAAAAAATTTTTTTTTTTTTAAAAATTTTTTTTTTAAAAAAATTTTTCCCTTAAATTTTTAAAAGGGGAAAAAATTTTTATTTTTGGGGGGGGGTTTTTTTATTTAAAATTTTTAAAAATTAAAAAAAATTTTTTTTTAAAAAATATTTATTATTATTTTTTATTTTTGGGGGGGGGTTTTTTTTTTTTTTTTTAAAAAAAAAAAAATTTTTTTTTTTTTTTTTTTTATTATATTTTTTTTAAAAAAAAAATTATATTATTATTTATTAAATTATTTTTTGGGTTTTTTTTTTTTGGGGGTTTTTTAAAAAAAAAAAAAGGGGGGGTTTTTTTTTTTTTTTTTTCCCCCCCCGGGGGGGGGGTTTTTTTTTTTAAATTTTTTTTATCCCCCAAAAAAAGGGGGGGGTTTTTGGGGGTAAATTTTTTAAAAATTTTTTTAAAGGGGTTAGGGGGAAAAAAAAAGGGGGGGGGAAAAACCCCCTTTCCCCCCTTTTTTTTAAAAAAATTTTTTCCCCTTTTTTTTTTTTTTAAAAAAATTTTAAAAAAATTTTGAAATTTTTTGGGGGAAAAGGGGGGGGGAAAGGAAAGGGGGGTTTTTTGGGGGGGGGGGGGGGGGAAAAATTTTTTTTAAAAAAATTTTTTTTTTAAAATTTGGGGGGGGGAAAAAAAAGGGGGGGGGGGGGGTTTTTGGGGGGGGGGGTTTTTTTTGGGGGGGGGTTTTGGGGTTTTTTAATTTTGGGGGGGTTTTTTAAAAAAATTTTTGGGGAAAAATTTTTGGGGGAAATTTAAAATTTTTTTAAAAAAAGGAAATTTTTTTTAAAAAAAAAAAAAAGGGGGGTTTTTTTTTGGGGTTTTGGGGGGGAAAGGGGAAAGGGGGAAAAAAGGGGGGTTAAATAAAGGGGGGGTTTTTGGGGGGGGGTGGAAAATTTTTTTTGGGGTTGGGTTTTTTTTTTGGGTTTTTGGGGGATTTTTTTTTTTAAAAATGAGGGAAAGGGGGAAAGGGGGGATAAAGGGGTTTTTTAAAAAATTTTTGGAAGGTTTTAATTTTTTTTAAAATTTTTTTTAAAATTTTAAATTTTTTTGGTTTTTTTGGGTTTTTAAAAAATTTTTAAAAAAATTTTTTTTGGGGGGGGGTGGGAAAATTTTTTAAAAAAGGGGGGAAAATTTTTTTAAAGGGGGGAAAAATTGGTTTTTGGTTGGGGGGAAAAAAGGGAAATGGGGGAAAAAAAAGGGGGGTTTTTTTTTGGGGGGTTTTTTTTTTTTTGGGGGGGGGTTTTTTTTTTTTTAAAAAAAAAGGGAAGGTTTAAAAAAAATATTATTTTTTTAGGGTTTTTTCCCCCCCAAAAAAAAAATTTTTTAAAAAAAAAAAAGGGGGGGGGTTTTTTTTTAAAAAATTTTTTGGGAAAAAAAATTTTTTTGGGGAAAATGGAAATTTTAAAAAATTTTAAAAAAAGGGGGAAAAAAAAAAAATTTTTTTTTCCCAAAAAGGGGGGGTTTTTTTTTTCCCCCCCTTAAAAAGGGGGGGCCCCCCCAAAAGGGGGCCCCCGGGGGTTGGGGAAAAAAAAAAGGGGGGGGGGAAAAAATTTTGGGGAATTTAAAGGAAAAAAAAAAAAAGGGGGGGGAAAGGGGGGAAAAGGAAAACCCCCCCAAAAAAAAAATTTTTTAAAAAACCCCCGGGGGGGGTTTTTTGGGGTTTTGGGGGGGAAAAAATTTTTTTTTGGGGGGGGGGGGGGGGGGCCCGGGGGGGGAAAAAAAAAGGGGGTTTTTGAAAAACCCCTTTTAATTTTTAAAAAATTTTTTTAAAAAAACCCCCTTTTTTTTTTTAAAAAAAAATTTTTTCATTCCCCAAAAAAATTGGGGGGGAAAAAGGGGGAAAATTAATTTTTAAAAAAAAAGGGGGGAAAATTTTGGGGGGGGTTTTTTTTTTGGGGGGTTTTTTCCCCCCCCCCCCCAAAAACCCCCGGGGGAAAAAAAAAAAAAAAACCCGGGGGGGGTTTTTTTTTTTTTTAAAAGGGGGTGAAAATTTTGGGGGTTTTTAAAAAGGGGCCCGGGAAAAAAATTTTTTTCCCCGGGGCCCCCCGGGGGGGGGCCCCCAAAAATTTTCCCCCGGGGGGGGGGGGTGGGGTTTTTTAAAAAGGGGGGGGGGAAAAAAAAAACCCCCCAAAAAAAGGGCCCCCCCCCCATTTTAAAAAAAGGGGGGGGTTTTTTGGGGGGCCCAAAAAAAAGGGGTTTTTTTTTTGGGGGGGGAAAAAAATTTTTTTCCCCCCCCCCCCTTTTTTTTTTTTCCCCCGGGGGTTTTTTTTTTTTTGGGGTGGGGTTTTTTTAAAATTTTCCCCTAAAAAAGGTTTGGGGGGGCCCCCCCGGAAAAATTTTTTTTGGGGGGGGGGGGGAAAAAAAAGGGGGGTTTTCCCCCCTTTTTTGGGGGTTTAACCCTTTTTTTTTTTAAAAAAGGGGGGAAATTTTTCCCCCCAAAAAAAAGGGGGTCATTTTCTACATCCGTCAGCCATCTTCCTATGGTGGACGGGGTGAAAGGTCAGCGCTGGATGGATGCCCCCCCCCCATTCATCCAGCCAGTCCTGACCTGACCGGGTCCGACCAGCAGGTTGGGCCATGTTCCCCCCGTGTTGGACGGCTCCCATGTGAGCCGTCCAACATGGCAGCTGGATGGGGGGGGGGGGGGGGGGGGGGGGCGCTGCGTAGAGGAGCAGCTTTGTTTGGTCCTTCGGCGCGCTAATCGCTCTCACAGGGGAGGATGTTTCCTCTGTTAGACGTTTCACAATTAGATTTCCTCTCCAAACAGCTTCTTATTTAATTCCCTTAAATTATTGATTTTAATTAAATGATGGTTTCATCATCATAATGAGTTAATGGAGGCAGGAGCGCCGCGTCAATACTGGATTTATGAGGGATGAAGGTTTAACAGCCTGAGGAGGTAAACTCATCTCTGAGGACCACAGGCTGCATCGGTTCCTACACTGGTTCCCGGTCTGACCCGGGCAGGCCGCCCAGGCTGCATCGGTTCCCACACTGGTTCCCAGTCAGACCCAGGCAGGCTGCCCAGGCTGCATCAGTTCCCACACTGGTTCCCAGTCAGACCCAGGCAGGCTGCCCAGGCTGCATCAGTTCCCACACTGGTTCCCAGTCAGACCCAGGCAGGCTGCCCAGGCTGCATCAGTTCCCACACTGGTTCCCAGTCAGACCCAGGCAGGCCGCCCAGGATGCATCGGTTCCCACACTGGTTCCCAGTCAGACCCAGGCAGGCTGCCCAGGCTGCATCGGTTCCCACACTGGTTCCCAGTCAGACCCAGGCAGGCTGCCCAGGCTGCATCAGTTCCCACACTGGTTCCCAGTCTGACCCAGGCAGGTCGCCCAGGCTGCATCAGTTCCCAGACTGGTTCCCGGTCTGACCCAGGCAGGTCGCCAAGGCTGCATCGGTTCCCACACTGGTTCCCAGTCAGACCCAGGCAGGCCGCCCAGGCTGCATCAGTTCCCACACTGGTTCCCAGTCTGACCCAGGCAGGCTGCCCAGGCTGCATCGGTTCCCAGACTGGTTCCCAGTCAGACCCAGGCAGGCTGCCCAGGCTGCATCAGTTCCCACACTGGTTCCCAGTCAGACCCAGGCAGGCTGCCCAGGCTGCATCGGTTCCCACACTGGTTCCCAGTCAGACCCAGGCAGGCCGCCCAGGCTGCATCGGTTCCCACACTGGTTCCCAGTCTGACCCGGGCAGGTCGCCAAGGCTGCATCGGTTCCCACACTGGTTCCCAGTCAGACCCAGGCAGGCTGCCCAGGCTGCATCGGTTCCCACACTGCTTCCCAGTCAGACCCAGGCAGGCTGCCCAGGCTGCATCGGATCCCACACTGGTTCCCAGTCAGACCCAGGCAGGCCGCCCAGGCTGCATCGGTTCCCACACTGGTTCCCGGTCTGACCCGGGCAGGTCGCCCAGGCTGCATCGGTTCCCACACTGGTTCCCGGTCTGACCCGGGCAGGTCGCCAAGGCTGCATCGGTTCCCACACTGGTTCCCGGTCTGACCCGGGCAGGTCGCCAAGGCTGCATCGGTTCCCACACTGGTTCCCGGTCTGACCCGGGCAGGTCGCCAAGGCTGCATCGGTTCCCACACTGGTTCCCGGTCTGACCCGGGCAGGTCGCCCAGGCTGCATCGGTTCCCACACTGGTTCCCGGTCTGACCCGGGCAGGTCGCCAAGGCTGCATTGGTTCCCACACTGGTTCCCGGTCTGATCCGGGCAGGTCGCCCAGGCTGCATCGGTTCCCACACTGGTTCCCGGTCTGACCCGGGCAGGTCGCCCAGGCTGCATCGGTTCCCACACTGGTTCCCGGTCTGACCCGGGCAGGTCGCCAAGGCTGCATCGGTTCCCACACTGGTTCCCGGTCTGACCCGGGCAGGTCGCCCAGGCTGCATCGGTTCCCACACTGGTTCCCGGTCTGACCCGGGCAGGTCGCCAAGGCTGCATTGGTTCCCACACTGGTTCCCGGTCTGATCCGGGCAGGTCGCCCAGGCTGCATCGGTTCCCACACTGGTTCCCGGTCTGACCCGGGCAGGTCGCCAAGGCTGCATCGGTTCCCACACTGGTTCCCGGTCTGACCCGGGCAGGTCGCCAAGGCTGCATCGGTTCCCACACTGGTTCCCGGTCTGACCCGGGCAGGTCGCCCAGGCTGCATCGGTTCCCACACTGGTTCCCGGTCTGACCCGGGCAGGTCGCCAAGGCTGCATTGGTTCCCACACTGGTTCCCGGTCTGATCCGGGCAGGTCGCCCAGGCTGCATCGGTTCCCACACTGGTTCCCGGTCTGACCCGGGCAGGTCGCCAAGGCTGCATCGGTTCCCACACTGGTTCCCGGTCTGACCCGGGCAGGTCGCCCAGGCTGCATCGGTTCCCACACTGGTTCCCGCTCTGACCCGGGCAGGTCGCCAAGGCTGCATCGGTTCCCACACTGGTTCCCGGTCTGACCCGGGCAGGTCGCCCAGGCTGCATCGGTTCCCACACTGGTTCCCGGTCTGACCCGGGCAGGTCGCCCAGGCTGCATCGGTTCCCACACTGGTTCCCGGTCTGACCCGGGCAGGTCGCCCAGGCTGCATCGGTTCCAACACTGGTTCCCGGTCCGACCTGGGCAGGCCGCCCAGGCTGCATCAGGGCAGAGTGGGATGGGAACCAGTCTGGGCAGAGCGTCTCCCTCTGACTGGTGCCTGTTCTGCATATCTCCAGTCGTTCCTCAGCCTGGGACTGGGAACTAGTGCAGTTCCCATTCTTAAAGCTTATCTTTAGATGGAACTGGTTCTTTTAGTTTACATTTTTAAAGGATGTTTCGGTAAAATCAGGTCAGGATTCCTTCAAAGCAGCACTGAGCCTTTAGCCACTAGGGGCGCTAGACCTTTATCTTCCAGGCTTAGTGCCCCCTGCAGGCCTCTGGCAGTACTGTCTGCAAATCACCCAGTCTGAGTTCTGGTTCTGGTATCAGACCAGTTTGGACCAGTAGGTCCAGAATCCAGCAGTTCCTGGTAAACCTTCGATCCTCCATCAGAGAACCAGAAACACGTCTGATTGGCTAACAGCTGTTAGCTTAGTTAGCTCTGGTGTTTCAGAGGAACTCAGACTGAAGCGGCGCTCCGGGTCACATGACCCATTCAGTGACGGATCGACCCTCTGAGGTCACAGAGGAGCATCGATACGCAGCAGGAGATGAAGATGGAGCTAAAGGCCTGATCCCAGATTAAACTAACAGTGAGGTCAAAGGTCACACTGTGCTAATCGGCCCTCCCTCCTCCCACCTACCCAGGTTCTCGATGGAGTAGTATCTCTGCTTGCTGTCCACGCGGACCGTCTCTGCGTAGGGGCTTCCCACGCCGTAGCCGATGATGTAACCTCGGACCAGGATGTTGGGGCTGAGCGGCGGCGTCCAGGACATGATGATGCTGCTGGGGAGCGGCCTGACGTGCAGAGAGCTGGGCTGGTCGGGCACCTGACTCTCTGCCAGGAGAAAAACCACAGCACAGAAGAAGAGCCGTCAGATGGAAGGAGGGCGCAACACGCCGCGACACGTCGTGTTCCTCCTCAGTATCAGATTAGAGCAGATTATCGGCCTCGCCGCTCCCTGGGGGAGACGCCTCGGATCGCTTTAATCCATAGAAATTAGATTAACGTCTGTCAGTGAAACGCGGTTAGCAAAGATGTGTGGTAGTTTTTATCTGAAGGGCTTCCTGCTCAGCAGAAGCTCCTGTTCCTGATCTTTAGTTTGGTCCAATTATTCTCTGAGGGATCGTTAAAGCGCCTGCAGCCTGTTGGCTGCATCCGCCTGAATATGCAGAGAAGGAAACAAATCAAGCTTTCAATGCTTCCATTAATGGATTAGAGCGTCTCCAGAACATTAACTAGTTATTATTCATAATCACCCAATTATTGGGAATTTTCTCTGCTTCCCAGTAAATCCTGGTTAAAGGTGAGCTAAAGGAACCATTTTACTGCGAGCATTCTGCATGTTGATCAGGCGCCGTCAGACTGGGAATCAAATGGTTCTGATGGCGGCTTTGACGAATCCTTCTTCAACCTGAATAAACTCTTTATTATCAGAACCTGAATCCTGTTCCATCAGATCCATCTTTGTTTCCTTCTCTTTAATATTTCAGATAATCTACAAACTTTAAGAGAAAATGAAGGAACACAGAAAAGAAAGCAGCCGAAGGATCAAAGGGAAAACTAACCTGAGAAACGGCTTCAACAGAACCTGTCTGACAACACGAAGCAGGCTAGAAAGTTCTGATCGTTCTCTGATCCAAAGAAAACCAAACCGAAAGGATGTTTAGCTGCCTGTGGCCAAACGTCCGTCAGCCCCCTGCAGGACGGTCAGAAAACTGCGTGGACCAGAGCGTGGTACAGTACGTGGACCGGAGCACGGACCCGAAGGTGGACCGGAGCGGGAAATGGTGCGTGGACCGGAGCACGGACTGGAGTGTGGAACAGTGCGTGGACTTGAGTGTGGACCGGAGCGTGGACTGGAACGTGGAACGGTGCGTGGAAAACATAAAACGGTTTATTATCAGATCTAAATTGTGACTAGTTGTGTTCAGGTGACCCTCTAAACAGCCCTTATTGCCCCCTTTACCCCTTGGATCATCAGTGGCTCTTTACGCTGCCGAGCTGCTCAGTAAATCAGCCTAACTCCACCGATCTGGTTCTCTGGAAAATTCCCATCGCTAAGCAACCACGCCTTGCACAGCTTTGCTAACCTGAGTTCTGGAAAATGTTTGATGATCTCCATCTTTCTGCAGAGAGAAGCAGAGACAGCGCCGGCTACACATTCATCCCCACTAACCGCCTCATTTAAACATTTATTCTACAAACAGAAAACATTGTAGAAATGCTGGAACATCCCGGCATCATTCTTGGATCTCATGAATTATTTTGGGCAGTTTAACCCTGCAGCTTTTGATCCTCATTCTTATTCTTGGTTTCCGTCGTTTCTCTCCCATTCCTCCCCGTCTTCCTCCCAGTTAACAGCTCTCCATCTTCCCCTCGTCCCCCGAGACCAAACCTTCGCTCCGTCGACCAGCAGCTGCTGAAATATTTATGTGTGTTAGGAAAGAGCAGGAAGACGCCTGTTGTTGAACAGATTACCATCCAGGTCGTTCTCTGGCGTCTGGGCGGAGTACCAGTCGCTGGGGGGGCCCGTTCCGTTCACCGTCATGGCCGCCACCTGGAAGCTGTACTGGCTGCCCTTCTCCAGACCTGCAGGACCCATAGGGAGGAGAAGAAGAGTTAAATTACTCCTGACATTCAGCCTGAACTTTTCAGCCTGTTTGAATAACCAAAAGGAGGCGGGAGCAGCTCTGATTGGACGAGAACAGCAGCAAAATGTTAAACAAAAGGATTTGATTTCAATCTCTAACGTTCTGCTCGCTCTGCTTTTTCTCATAGTAGCTTCATCTGCCCAGCTGCCTGGTTGGTTGGTTAGCTGGTCAGTTAAACTAAGACCAGCCCAGCTGCCTGGTTGGTTGGTTAGCTGGTCAGTTAAACTAAGACCAGCCCGGCTGCCTGGTTGGTTAACAATAATAAAACACAAACACATTTAGGCTCCAAGCACAGATGCATCTAATCCCGTCATCTAATTCCATCCTTCATCTGATACCGAGGGTCAGAGGTCAGGGGCAGTCTAATCAGCCATCTTGGTCAGGCATCAGTTAGGTCCAGTTCTGATTCCTGATCTTTGGAAAATCCCTGAAAGAAAAATCTTCTTTCATTGTTCCGTAAACGTTTCTACCAACGCGGCGCCGTCGGCGTCTCCTGGAAACGAGCAGAAAGTTCTTCTTTCTTCATCAAGCAGAGCGATAAGAACGGCGGCTCATGGACTGTAGGGAGACGCAGGAGGAACGGAGGGAATAATCCAGAACTGGAAGTCCAGAAGAGTGAAGGCGGTTCATGCTGCTGAACTCGGCCAGGATGGGATTAAATCCCTCAGTCAACAGGATTTCTTTTTACAATAAAGTAAAAATAAAACATCCAGCGTGTTTTTTATGCGCTGCATTAAAAATAGATATAATATATGTATTAAATTTCCATAAGGCAGGTTTCTGCAGGCAGCCGGGCTCTCCGCAGACGGACAGATGGAGATAACCATCGATGAGAAAAATAATGGAAACCAGATCAGTTTCATTCAAACCGAGCTGAGCTCAAATTGAAATAATAGCTGGTGGCGCTTTGAATGCAGCGACACAGACACATCCCTGCATGTTTATGCTAATCCAGCATTTCTGTCTGAGAATAAAAACACAGAGATAAAAAAAAAAAAGGACAGAATCACAGAGGATTTGAACAGTTGTTGTCTAAATGTGAACATTTATGTCTAAAAAGAAGAAAAATCCCTGATCCCACATTCATTCCCAGCTACATAAAAACAAAAAGCACAGCTTCAAAATAAACCAAACGCTGCTTTTTATCCACATTTTATATAAAATGACATGAAAATAAAAACATCAAAAGGATTTAATCTGATCCAGTTTCTAAAGTCAGATTAGTGAGAAGAGATGAGCTGCAGTGTCACCTGTGAACAGGTACCAGAAGTTGTTGGGTTCAATGGCCTCCTGGTCTCCACGGCGACCAGTCTTCCTGTATCTGATCTTGTACGCCGTGATGATGCCGTTCTGGGAGCTGCGCGGGGGCGGCTGCCATGACACCTTGATGCTCTGAGAGAAAACAGAGGATTCATGGTGGGTTTGCTGATCTGCAGGTTGCTAACGGTGCCGCTGTCCGGCGCCATGAACACAAACCCGCTTTGAAAGGTGGGAGGGGCTAAATCAACAGGAAGGACGCTTCTACAGCCAACAACCATGAATACCAACATCTAGAGTAGACAGAGATTACACTCAGGTCTCCTAGTTCCAGCCAGAACTAGAACCTAACATGGAAAAGCAGCATCTATGCTCCACAGATCTGGAACAAACTCTTGAGTTCTTTGAAGTCATTAGTTTAGAGTCTTTGACTGATGGAGTTAAACTGTAAACTGAGGATGATTAGTTTAAGGTCGTGGTCCAACCGTTTGTTTGATTCTTTTATCATGTTTTCATCTTAATTTGCTTTTATTCTGCATTTATTTCTCTTCTGTTTTATGATCTAACCCCTTTAAAGCACCTGGAACTGTCCAAGTACTGAATTGTGCTGTAGAGATAAACTGGCCTTGCCTTGCCTTTCCTTGCCTTTCCTTTCCTTGCCCTGCCTTGCCTTTCCTTGCCCTGCCTTGCCTTTCCTTGCCTTTCCTTGCCCCGCCTTGCCTTTCCTTGCCCTGCCTTGCCTTTCCTTGCCTTTCCTTGCCCTGCCTTGCCTTTCCTTGCCTTGCCTTTCCTTGCCTTTCCTTGCCCCGCCTTGCCTTTCCTTTCCTTGCCCTGCCTTGCCTTTCCTTGTCGCCTTTCCTTGCCTTGCCTTTCCTTGCCTTGACTTTCCTTGCCCTGCCAGGTGTGGGTGATGGCCAGTGACTGCAGGAGTTCCTGGTTTTGGTCGTGTGGGATTAGATTGGTCGTCAGTGGAAACAGCAGACGTCTTTCTCCACTGACGCTTCGTGAGGAAGCGGCCTGTTCTCAGCAGCAGGAAGTCCTCTGATTGGTTCCTGAAAGCTGCGCATCAGGAAGTAGCATCGTGTCTTTGGTTCCTAGCTGACTGTGTTTGGTCCCTGTTAGATTGGCTGTTTTATAGAATATAGATTTAAATGTTTGCCATGAATCAGTCAGTTTGGTTTGATATTGACGGTTTATCAGACATGATGCCATTATTCCAGCAGACTGGTTGAACCGTGTAGCTTAGAGCAACGAACACAATCGAACCTGCAGGTTGATTGAAGCATTAATCCGTCCTTTGGAGGACGACCAATGAGGCCTAAGCTGCCCCGAAGATCTCCTCTAAATAAAGATCATGATCTGATGCGGCGGCGGGTCAGGCTATCAGATTATCAGAGGGGGAATTAAGAAAAGCTTTAGTAGAATCTAATCCAGAGATGCTGCTCAGCTCGTCTTTCTGCTGCTGGTCGGGATTCATCGTCTGCTGCGCATCATCTGTATTCAGGAGCGTGTTTCCGTGTGCGTTAGCGTGCGGGTTGGCTGTGTGTTGAATGAATTTTAATTGCTTTATTTGCATGTTAACAACCCGCCCTGCCACACACACAAACACAGATGCAGCAGATGTTGGCTGGGCCTCCTGTGAGCTCCGCTCTGCCAGGCGGCTGCCATCAGCCGCTCAGCACTCGGAGCGACCCGGACTGTTGGCTGGGCTGAGCACTAATCAATGAACATTAATGAATCAGAAAAGTCATTCTGTTTTCTCTCATCATTTAATTCAGAGCTAAGTTTAGCTGCATGTTGTGAATCTAAGCTCAGATTAATTCACCTTTGGTTGAATTATTCTGATTACAGTCGTTCCACCAGGGACAGCCCCCCCTTCCTATCTACATAGATTAAAGTTGGAAGACTTTTTAACACGTTTCCATGAAGCATGGTGGTGGTGTGATGCTGCGGGTCTCAGCTCCGCCTGTGGCCGGCCGTTCACTCTGAGGGCGAACATCCTGCCATAAATGACTCATTTGGAATAAACCAATGGGAGGCCCTGATGGTGAAACGGTTTCAGCCTTCGACTGACATGGACAGGGTTCAAATCTGTAAACTTTATTGCAGAAGAACATCAGAGGAAATGTTTATCAGGCAGGATTCATCTGGAACAGAAAAGAATAGAAATACATTCCCAGAAACATGTTTTCCTCTCCTGGTTTCCATGGCAGAGCTCGGCTGATCTGAGGTCTGCCTGCCACAGGCTCAACATCCATGTTGTGGCGTTGGTGGTCTCATCAAGCTCTGACACACCTCCACCTCCATGAGCCGGCGGGCCGAGCGGCGGTTTAAAGATGCAGCCTGTGTCACAGCGATGGCAGAGGAATTCATTAACATTTAGCAGCACCTGTTCCCTCTGCTACTCCTCATCCTGCTAATTGATTACAGCAGCCTGATTAGCAGAGGAGAGGCTGGAATGAAGCACGGCGCGGCCAAAAGCCTCCGCCTCCTCTGCATGTGCGCCACCACGTGCTTCATCACCTAATTACCCACTTTGACAGCACATCCTTCTCTGTGGGGTCTCCATGGAAATGCTACAGAAGTCAAATTCATGTTCTAACAACTCCCACAAAGACCGAGGAGGTAAACCATCCATGAAGGACGCTGACGGAGCCGACCAACCTCAGAGAAACGGCTCGGCTCAGGAGCTGCAGACATGATTCTGTCCAAACGCCACATTTCTCCACTTAGAGGACTGCAGACTCCTGCATCGCCGTTTGTTTAACTGCAGGTTCCAGGTTCTGAATTCATCCGTTTTTGAACAGCTAATAGTTTATTCAGAAGGATAAGACGATATTTTTTATTTTAATTTATTGTTAGTTTTTTTCCCAGCGTTTTATTGTCATTCCACTGTAAGAGCAACAATATTCCCTCTCTGCATTTAACCCATCTCCTTAAAGAGCAGTGGGCTGCCATTGTGCGGCGCCCAGGGAGCAGGATGGGGTTAAGGGTCTTACTCAGGGACCCAGAGGGGGGTGAAGGGTCTCACCTAAGGATCCACACTTGCCGCTCATTCCCCTCAGCTGGGATACGAACCCAGGCTTCCTGTTTGCAGGATGGCTAAATATAATAAATGATGTTAATCCTCATTATGCCTGAAAGAAGAACCTTTGTTCTTTATGGAAAGTTTTTACTGGCTTCCTGTGATCATCAGTATTTCATTCATCAGACCTCTCTGCATTGGACCAACAATAAACCAACAATAAACCAACATTAAACCAACAATAAACCAACAATAAACCAACAATAAACCAACATTAAACCAACAATAAACCAACAATAAACCAACAATAAACCAACATTAAACCAACATTAAACCAACAATAAACCAACAATAAACCAACATTAAACCAACAATAAACCAACAATAAACCAACAATAAACCAACATTAAACCAACATTAAACCAACAATAAACCAACAATAAACCAACATTAAACCAACAATAAACCAACAATAAACAAACATTAAACCAACATTAAACCAACAATAAACCAACAATAAACCAACAATAAACCAACAATAAACCAACATTAAACCAACAATAAACCAACAATAAACCAACATTAAACCAACAATAAACCAACAAAAACCAACAATAAACCAACATTAAACCAATAATAAACCAATAATAAACCAACAATAAACCAACATTAAACCAACAATAAACCAACATTAAAACAACATTAAACCAACAACAAACCAACATTAAACCAACAATAAACCAACATTAAACCAACAATAAACCAACAATAAACCTACAATAAACCAACATTAAACCAACATTAAACCAACATTAAACCAACATTAAACCAACAATAAACCAACATTAAACCAACAATAAACCAACAAAAACCAACAATAAACCAACAATAAACCAACATTAAACCAACATTAAACCAACAATAAACCAACAATAAACCAACATTAAACCAACATTAAACCAACATTAAACCAACAATAAACCAACAATAAACCAACATTAAACCAACAAAAAACCAACATTAAACCAACAATAAACCAATAATAAACCAACAATAAACCAACATTAAACCAACAAGAAACCATCATTAAACCAACATTAAACCAACAATAAACCAACAATAAACCAACAATAAACCAACAATAAACCATCATTAAACCAACAATAAACCAACATTAAACCAACAATAAACCAACATTAAACCAACAATAAACCAACAAAAAACCAACATTAAACCAACAATAAACCAATAATAAACCAATAATAAACCAACAATAAACCATCATTAAACCAACATTAAACCAACAATAAACCAACATTAAACCAACAATAAACCAACAAAATTCCATGGCTCCACCCTTGTTCTAACATGGTGGGACGGTTCCATGGCTCCACACCCTTGTTCTAACATGGTGGGACGGTTCCATGGCTTCACCCTTGTTCTAACATGGTGGGACGGTATTCCGACAGGATGAGTCCTCGGCCCTCTGATTGAGGATTGGATGGAAGGAAACGCTGACTGGACACGGTCCCAGCAGGACTCCAGATGTGAGGGCAGGCTAACAGTGGTTTAGTGAGCAGCTGATAGTGAGCTGATTTGATCAGTGAGTCATGGTTTGTATCGGGGTGCGGCAGGAAAGGAAAGCTAGCCTTGGCTATAATCTTATGTTTGATAATCTGTCTGCTAATATGTAAACATGCTAAGAAAATGAATTTTCCCTTTAAACAAATACAGAAAATGAGGTCAGCTCTTGTTTATGTCAAACATACCAGCATGCTGTCAGTAATGACTGGAGATGATAAATCTGTTGTTATGAATTGTTCTGATAAATCTGGACTATAATCTGACAACAATGAAAATATAAAGCCGGGATGCTTCATGCAGGGCAATGGTTATAAACATGAGCAACACTAGAACTTTAAATAGAATATTAAACATAACAAATGTAATATTTATTAATAACATATTAACCTTTGGAGAAACCTAAGCAGGAAAGTTACTGAAATCAATAAAGAGATTAAAAGCAACAACAGGCAGCTGTCAGGCCGCCGTCAGGCCACCAACAAGCCACCAACAGGCAGCCATCAAGCCACCAACAGGCAGCCATCAA